AGCTGAATGCGGATGGAGGATGTTTGAGCGCAGTTACGGCTAGAGTTCGTGTGGGATGGATGAAATTTAGGGAACTGGGTGGGGTATTGTGTGGAAAGAAATGGTCAGTGAAGATGAAAGGGAGGGTATATAAAGCATGTGTGAGAGCAGCGATGATATATGGTGGTGAAACTTGGGTGTTGAGGAGAGAGGAGGAAAGTGTACTGCAGAGGGCTGAAAGAGCTATGGTGAGGATGATGTGTGGGGTTAAAGTGAAGGATAGGAGGAGTAGTACAGAGCTGATGTCAATGATGGGACTGAATGAGGACATTGTGACATTGATAAGGAGATCGAGATTGCGGTGGTATGGACATGTGTTGAGAAGGGATGAAAGGGTCGGGATTAGGCGAGCGTTGGAGTTCGAGGTTGAAGGAGTGGTAGGAAGGGGTCGTCCGCGATTGGGATGGAGAGAGCAGGTGGAGAAGGACAGGGTGAAAGCGGGGTTGCGTGATACTGAGGCGAGTGACAGATGTGGATGGAGTCGAGGGGTATTTCGGTTTCATCATAGGTAGCCAAACGGCAACCCCCGATCTCGGGGAAAATGCCGTCTAAACGTGTGTTGTTGTTGTTGTTGTATGGTTGCTGCTAGGATCTGTGTAAACGAGTGACGAACTGATGTTGAAATAAAAACCTTTGGTCGAAATATTCTCATTATTAGCATTAGTTGTACGAGTATGAATAGTGGCTGTAATCATTGAATTGAATCACATAAACAAATCCTCCTGAAACATTCCTCCAGCAGACTCCTCACCTTCGCTGAAGACGGAGTACACCAACTCAACTTGCTGGCATCTGGTGGTCAGGGATAGCAGGTCAAACGGGAATGGGACGAACTCAATCAAATGATCCAGATGGGCATTATGCAAAACTGGAGATGGCGGGTGAGATGACGACGACGAAGGTGGTGGTGGTAGGACGTCGGACAGGCTATGTTGGTGATTATAATGGTGTTGTTGATGATGAGCATGGTGGTGGTGGTGATGATGATGGTGAGACTCGTGGCCGACTTGAATCTGCTGTAGTTCTGAGCTGTGTGTGTGAGTGTGTGTGTGTGTGTGAGAGAGAGAGAAAGAGTGTATGCGTGTGTGTGTGCGTGTGTTATAGGATGGTAATTATTTTTTCCCTATTTCACTCATTCAGTCGTCTATGCATACATTGTTATAATTAATTTTTATCAGTATAACCATCGTCGTCATCATCATCAGCAGCAGTAGTAGCAGCAGCAACTGTCTTACTTATTAAAATTAGGCAGAGGAACGTGCACATTCTCACAGAGGTAAACTAAGTTTTCCAATGTAACAAACGCCGATATACACTTTCTATTCACCGTGTATATCTATTAATATTTTTTTTTATTTTTCAATTAATAATATAATTTATTATTATTATTATTTAAAAGTATTTTAAATAATTTGATAATTCTTTTATTATTAATTAAAAGTTAATTAGATTCCAAACTAAAAAGACTGTTGGAAATAAAAAAAAAATCCACATACGACGTGCGGTATTTCGTAGTAGCGCATCCCTATGAAATCTTTGATCTTCTGGTTTTCCCCGCAGACCACACCCACCTGTGGCTCCACCCAGCATTCGGTGACCAATTGAAAGCCTTGCTTCTCTGAAGTGCGCTCTGATTCGCTGACGCTAATGGACATGTTGGATTCTGATTGGATGCTAGAATGAAAGAGGTACTATCAATTAATTCAGTATCATTATTAATCAGTATAAATAGCAATGACGTCATAAACTATCGGTTATTATAAATATAATTAATTATATTTACGTTATTATTATGAATATATTATAACTAGGTACTAAACCGACACATCTGATAGTTTGTTTGGAGAAAATATGATGAATTGTACTACGCATGTGCTCATCACACCATCAGTAGTGTTGTTGTTGTTGAAGCTGTTGTTGCAGCTACTGCTACTACTGCTGCTGCTGCCACCGCTTGATGTCGCTACCACCTAGTAGTTTGGAAATTGTTAATTTAGAAATTATTTTGAAATAATTAAATTCAATGTTAAATAAACTGGATAAATAATTAACAACGACTATATATATAAAGGTTTTTTTATTATCAAGTAAGCTATATAATAATTCATTTGTATATTTTAATCTATTGCCCTAACAATTCATTCGTTTGTTAGCCTTTTTATTCATTCGTGATTAATTAATTAATTCATTCATTCATTTAATCAACTGACCATATCAAACTCGGCTGCCATCTTGATGACGTCAGGATTGCAACTCAGAAAATGAAAGCCTTCCTCCAATCTCAATCTGAAATACCGAAGAAGTCATCATCATTAACAACAATAACAACAATAATAATAATTAAAATTAATAACAACAACAATAATGAAAAATAACCAAACAGAACAGAGGGAAAGAGAAAGAGAGAGAAGAGAGAGAGAGAGAGAGAGAGAGAGAGAGAGAGAGAGAGAGATAGCACACCTAATGATATTGTAGAGAATCCTATCCAGGACACTCGCATTAACGTAATTAGCGTTGAAGCTGCTGATGTTGTTGTTACTACTGGCGGCATGAGAATGAAATTTGTTGCTGCTGTAGTTGTTGACGTTGCTGCTAAAATTAACCACATTATTATTGTTGTTGTTGTTGATGTTTTTGAAGCTAACGCTGTTGTTGAGGTTTTTGTTGTTGACGTTGTTGTTTGTGGTGGTGGTGGTGGGAGTAAGAGACCATATCCACCTTTTGTGGCAGAGCAAATTCGATATGGACGCCAGTGGATTTGCAGCGATTGCAGTTGCCGAAAGGGCAGCATTGTTTCTGTGTTTGTTTGTGTGTGTGTTCATGTGTGTGTGTGTGTACGTGTGTGTGTTTATATATATATATTTTTACAATATTCTATAAATTCTACCGAATGTTTGGCGTTAATATGTTTGTAGTTTGTTTTTTGGATTTTTCTCACTAAAGTTTTTTGGTGAACGTTTAGTTTATTAAAATTCAAAATAAACTTATTTTTCGAATTGTATATATAGGGAAATATTGACTTTGTCAAGATTAACTTTGACGTTGTAAAAATTAACTTTGGTGTTGTAAAATTGAACTTTGATGCGAATTAGGTGTCAGGTTTCTTAATTGGCTGGTCATCAAAGTCAATATTTCCCTATATATATAACAAGGAGCACTGACGATGATTCATTCGGAATCGAAATATGGCCTTATTTGCAGCATGAATTCGAAAAATAAGTTTATTTTCAATTTTAATAAACTAAACGTTTACCAAAAAAATCCAAAAAACGAGAAAAATCCAAAAAACGAACTACAAACATATTAACGCCAAACGCCAAACATTCGGTAGAATTTATAGAATATTGTAAAAATTATGGTCTATTACCAACATATATATATATATATATATATATATGTATATATATATATATATATATATATATATATATATATATATATATATATATATATATATTAA